AATAGATCTTCATACCAATTCATAAGTGTTTTAGGATGCGTACTAATTAAATATTTTATTTATTTGTATAAACTCTCATACACCCTTAAATTACTAGTATTATGAGCCAAATACAGACAAAAGATACCTTATATTATATATTATAAATAAGCATTTAATAGCTTTGTGTTTACATAAGATGCTTTTACACTTGGGGATTATGGCATGGGTACCCAGTTTTCTATAATTATGCCCCACCATGAAAATGGCTGGGGCATATACAGAGTTTGTCATGTTTTTCTTCCTTCCCTCTATCCATTCTTCTGTCTCACTTTGTTTTTTAAGCACAGTTCAATGCTCAGTTTCAGCTCAGTTTCAAAGAAACCATTTAAGCTATTGCAATCAAACTTCATATGCTGACACATACAGATGTAAGATATTCAACTGCATTTATATTTTTTACCTTGACCTTTTCTTTGACCTTGATCTTTCATTTCTTAAATAAGTGTTTAGCTCAGTTTAAAGAAACAATTCAAGTGAATGTTATCAATCTTCATAAGCTTATACATATTATTATACTTTCATGTTAAATACTAAAATCTGATTGGTTTAGACGCAGTTAACAATCCGTTCGATTACCCTGAGCCTTAGCAACACACGTGGCAACGGGTAACACAACGGTAATGCCACATGCGTGGAAATTATGCGCGTACGGTTCACCGTAGAATTCTCAAAACGTCAGTTGCGCGTTTGAAAGAACCGGAATAAACTTGACGTCAATAGAAGCTTGCGTCCGATGTAGCTTACTTGAAAACAACAAACGACAGACGAAACATGCTTGCGAGTGCAGAAATAACGAAACTTTAGATGATAAAGGACTCGTAGAGTATCAAATAAACAATACAGAGGTCAGTAAATCTTTTCCGAAGTAGCGGGGAGTTTGAAAGCTTTCTAAACGTGAACGAAAAGGCTATCGACGATTTGTATTGCTGACATAGTAATTTAATCAAGAAGACATTCAGTATAATAAAATAAATGGTGCCTGTTTTGGAGGGTAACAGTTGAAATTGACACCCCTCGGAAAACCATTGTCAACCTCCGCTGACGCGTCGGTTGACAATGGTTTTCCTTGGGGTGTCAATTGCAACTGTTACCCTCCAAAACAGGCACCATTTATATACTGATATAAGGTATGAAACTACATCAAATTCTTTTTATACCCTCCGCAAACGAAGTCTGGGGGGTATATAGGAATCACCTTGTCCGTCTGTCCGTCTGTCTGTGCAATCGTGTCCGGTCCATATCTTTCTTACAGAGGGACATTAGAATCTACTACTCCACACTAAGATTGCCCATGACCCAAGGGTGTGTCATGACCTTGACCCAAGGTCATTTGGGGAAGTTCAAGGTCACTGGAAGAAAAATTTCATAATTCGTGTCCGGTCCATATCTTTCTTATGGATAAACTTGGTGGGTTCTCATTTCACACAAAGATTGCCCATGACCCAAGGGTGTGTCATGACCTTGACCCAAGGTCATTTGGGGAAGTTCAAGGTCACTGGAAGAAAAATTTCATAATTCGTGTTTGATACATATCTTTCTTATGGATAAACTTGGTAGGTTCTCATTTCACACAAAGATTGCCCATGACCCAAGGGTGTGTCATGACCTTGACCCAAGGTCATTTGGGGAAATTCAAGGTCACTGGAAGAAAAAAATTTCATAATTCCTGTCCGGTCATTTCTTTCTTATGGATAAACTTAGTAGGACTCATTTCACACAAAGATTGCCTATGACCCAAGAATGTGTCATGACCTTGACCCAAGGTCATTTGGGGAAGTTCAAGGTCACTGGAAGAAAAAAATTCATAATTCGTGTTTGATACATATCTTTCTTATGGATAAACTTGGTAGGTTCTTATTTCACACAATGATTGCCCATGACTTTGACCCAAGGTCATTTGGGGAAGTTTAAGGTCACTGGAAGAAAAATTTCATAATTCGTGTCCGGTCCATATCTTTCTTATGGATAAACTTGGTAGGTTCTCATTTCACTCAAAGATTGCCCATGACCCAATGGTGTGTCATGACCTTGACCCAAGGTCATTGGAAGATAAATTTCATAATTCGTGTTTGATACATATCTTTATTATGGAAAAACTTACTTCTGAAAAACCCAGCGGGGGGTATTTTGTCCCGTTTGGACAGTTCTAGTTTACCTTGACCTTTCCTTTGACATCTTTCCTTAAATTACTCCAAAGCTCAGTTTTAAGAAAAACCATTTAAGATAATATAACAAACTTAATAAGTGAGAGCTATTCAACTGTATATTTTTTTTAATCTTCCACTTTCCTGTGGACTTGACCTCTTTGGTTTTAATCTGCAGTTTGCTTAGTTTAAAAGAAACCATTTAAGATATTTTTATGTACTCTGTTGCACTACATAATTTGCTGAAAATTTATCTTTTATATCCATTTTTTTTTTTTTTGAGATTTCAATTTCAATTTTGAAGAGCCTGTTCAAGGTATTCACACAAACTTCATAAATTTATAAATTTTCTTGTTTCATTACTAATAAACACATTCATGTCCTATGGACACGTCTACTTTTTATAATCTGCCATGATAATTGCTGGGGCATGTTGTGTAAAATTGTCATGCACATCTTCTGTCCTTCCAAACTCAACTATTTTAACATTTTTAGCTCACCTCAATGAAGTTGGGGGAGCTTATGTAATACCCTCGGCATCGGTGTCGGCGTCACGGGTTAAGGTTAAGTTTTTTGGAGCAGTTTTCCTTTTAAGTACTTTTATGTCCTATATTGATTAGACATGCATGGAAGTTGTTCCTAGTGTGTTTCATTGTACTAGTCACAGTTTCAGATGCTGAAATTTCAGCAAAGGAATGACCAGGTTCATGTTTTTGGTGCAGGTTAACATTTTTGGTGCAGTTTTTGGTGTAGGTCTCATTCCCGAGTAACTATAAGCCCTATGTTGACCAAACTTGCATGGATGGTACATCTAAGGATGCATACTACCAGACTTGCTTCGGATGCTGAATCTGACCTGCATTTTCCGGTTGAGTGAACAGGTTAAAGTTTTTAGTGCAGGTTTTATTTCAAAGATACTATAAGCTCTATAATGACCAAACTTGCATGGATGGTACATGGTAGTATGCATCCTAAGATGTACCATCCATGCAAGTTTGTTCATTATAAGGCTTATAGTAACTTGGAAATGAAACCTACACCAAAAACTTTAACCTGTTCACTCAACCGGAAAATGTAGGTCAGATTCAGCATCCGAAGCAAGTCTGGTCTTATGCATCCTAAGAAGACTTGCTATGGATGCTGAATCTGACCCACATTTTCTGGATGAGTGAACAGGTTAAAGTTTTTGGTGCAGGATTCATTTCCAAGTAACTATGAGCCCTATATTGAGCAAACTTGCATGAATTATACATCTTAGGATGCACACTAATGGACTTGCTTTGGATGCTGAATTCGACTTACATTTTCCAGATAATGAACCAGGTAAAAGTTATGGGTGCAGGTCTATTACCAAGAAACTGTAAGGCTTATATAAACCAAACTTGTACAAATGATGCATCAAGGGATGAAAACTCTCAAACTTGCTTCAGATACTGGATTTTAATTATGTTTTCATGATAAAGAACTAGTTTGAAGTTTTATATACATGTAGGTCTATTCGAAAGAATCAGATCAAAAGTGCATAAATTTTGTATTTTTGGATGTACACCTTTTGTTAGTTTAAATTGTGTGACTTTGCCTTACTTAAAGACAACATTCGTTGAGGTGAGCTCTGTAATCTCTGATTACCTATGTTTCATTTGAGTGATCAGGTTCAAGATTTTGGAAGCAGGTATCATTTCTAAGTAACTATAAACCCCATGTTGACCAATCTTGCATATATGATACATCTGAGGATGCAAACTACCAAAGTCCCTTCAGAAGCTAGAGCAGACTTACTTTTTCTGGATGAGTGACTATTTTGAAGTTTTTTGAACAGTTTTATGCTTAATTAGGTAAACATAAGCCTTGTGTTGACCAGGCTTGCATGGATGATGTATCTGAGATGCTTACTACAAGAGATGCTTCAGATGCTGATGCTAAATCATTTTCTGGATCAGTAAACAGGTTTAAGTTTTTTAAGCAGGTTCATTAACTAACATTAAATCCTGTGTTGACCAAACTTTCATGGATGATACATCTATGGATGCATACTTGCAAAGTTGTTTCAGAGGCTGGCTCTTATCTGCATTTTCCAATCATTGGAGTAAGGGTAACATTCAAGTGTTGACACCTGTTCATTGTTGATTCAGTTTTTTTCTTGTTCTCACTTCATAAATGTTGTGATTACTCAGTTTGTGTGTTGAGGAAATATCTAAGTGTTACATTGTCTTTGACCTGTTGATGTCTTTGTTACCAGGCATGGGGTAGAAAAAGACTCATTCCAGGGAAAAAGGCAGACCATCACTGTCAGCAGGAGTTCAATGATGACTGTGGCCAGTTCCCAATGTAAAGGTAATTATAAGAGGCAGTGTGCAAGTACATGGTTCACTCTGTCCACTGTCTATTCTCAGTGTCTGTGTTAATTACTGAAATGTCTAAAGTTTAGTCTTCTTACTGAGTGAATACAGTGGACCCTCAGATATCCGGACGCCAGATATCCGGATGCTTCAGTATCCGGACGATTTTTCATCGGAACGAAATTTTTAAATGTCATTTTGTCTTGTTTAACTGGTGATTCAGATATCCGGATGCTTCACGGACAAATTTACTGGGAACCAAAGCGTCCGGATAAGTGAGGGTCCACTGTAGTTATAATTTAAGTTTTATTGATGTCTTGGTTTTTCTTTGTTCACAGATGGATGTGTATGCAACCATAATGAGAAGATGCGGTAGCATTCAGAATCTACTTACTTCTTGCACCATTTCATGATCATTCACTTGTTAATCCATGTTAACTGTATTGGTCCCTGACCTCTTGACTTCTCATTGACAGGAGGAACAGCAACTAGCAGAGCCCCGCAGACGTTGCAGCAACCAGGATCCAATTCCTCAGCCAGGAAGCCTAATAGAGAAGCATTTTGAACTTTCTTATCATCTTAATCTAACATAGCTAACCATTCCCCTCCCCCTCCCTCATGTCTTCTCTTGACCTAACCGTCTTCACTTGCTAACTTCTTTTTGTATTAATTTTCATGTCATGTCTCTGAATTTCTGTGATTTGTTTGATTGTTTTGAATTTGTACTAATTTTCTCTTAGTTGTGTACTTTCAGAGACTGGGAGGTGGTACGACGCTGGAGCAGCAAGGCCGGCCAACAGATGAAGATTCCATTGCCCAGTTATGTCCGTCGGCCAACATTGGCCAGAGCGGTAAGTTACATGCTTTCTTCATGAGATTTTTAGCTCACCTGAGCCGAAGGCTCAAGTGAGCTTTTCTGATCACATTTTGTCCGGCGTCCGTCCGTTCGTCTGTCTGTCCGTCTGTCTGTCTGTAAACTTTTCACATTTTCGACTTCTTCTCAAGAACCGCTGGGCCAATTTCAACCAAACTTGCCACAAAGTATCCTTGGGTGAAGGGAATTTTTTTTTATTCAAATGAAGGGCCACGCCCTTATTCAAGGGGAGATCATTGGGAATTAATGAAAATTTAGTGGTATATTTTAAAAATCTTCTTCTCAAGAACCACTGTGCCAGGAAAGATGAAACTTATGGGGAAACATCCTCAGGTAGTGTAGATTCAAGTTTGTTCAAATCATGACCCCTGGGGGTAGGGCGGGGCCAAAATGGCCAACCAAAGTTTTACATAGAAATATATAGGAAAATTCTTTAAAAATCTTCTCAAAAATGACAAAGCCATAATTCATCATATTTATATGGGAGCATGCTCATGTAGTGTAGATTCAATTTTGTTCAAATCATGACCCCCCGGGTAAGGGCAGGGCCAAAATGGCCGACCAAAGTTTTACATAGAAATATATAGGAAAATTCTTTAAAAATCTTCTTCTCAAGAATGACAAAGCCATAATTCATCATATTTTATATGGAAACATGCTCAGGTAGTGTAGATTCAAGTTTGTTCAAATCATGACCCCAGGGGGTAGGGCGGGGCCAAAATGGCCAACCAAAGTTTTACATAGAAATATACAGGAAAATTCTTTAAAAATCTTCTTCTCAAGAATGACAAAGCCATAATTCATCATATTTATATGGAAGCATGCTCAGGTAGTGTAGATTCAGCTTTGTTCAAATCATGACCCCCCGGGGTAGGGCGGGGCCAAAATGGCCGACCAATGTTTTACATAGAAATATATAGGAAAATTCTTTAAAAATCTTCTTCTCAAGAATGACAAAGCCATTATTCATCATATTTATATGGAAGCATGTTCAGGTAGTGTAGATTCAATTTTGTTCAAGTCATGACCCCCCGGGGGTAGGGCGGGGCCAAAATGGCCGACCAAAGTTTTACATAGAAATATATAGGAAAATTCTTTAAAAATCTTCTCAAGAATGACAAAGCCATAATTCATCATATTTATATGGAAGCATGCTCAGGTAGTGTAGATTCAAGTTTGTTCAAATCATGACCCCGGGGGGTAGGGCGGGGCCAAAATGGCCAACCAATGTTTTACATAGAAATATATAGGAAAATTCTTTAAAAATCTTCTTATCATTTTCTAAAAAATAGCAAATCCATGATTGGTCATGGGACTACTTTTGGATTTAAACTTTACAATAAAAAGCCATTTTATACTAGTCCTACCCTTGGTGCTCAGGTGAGCGATGTGGCCCATGGGCCTCTTGTTGAATTTCTGTTTTCCATTATGACATTATTTAAAGCAGCTTGGGTGCTCCTTTTCACTCCTTTCTTTCTGTATCATCAGGAAAATGGTCAAGCAAGCGTCGATCCCACTGTGACATGCAACTCCTTGGTCTGTCTGCAGCAGTCTGGAGAGAAGGGACCGACTGCAGCCAACCATTGAAGAGAGGGTAAGAATCAAGTCCTAACACCTGTCCTGTGCTGATTCCGTTTTATGTCTCATTCTCACTGAATGAAGATTGTGACAACTGTTGATGTCTTGTCTTCGTGCCTCAGAGATGCAGTGCAAAGTGCAGCCCTCTATCCCCAGCTCAGAAGGGGAGCCTGTCACCTGAAAAGCAAGAGTGCTGAAAGTTCCGGAGTCCACTGTGGCCACACCAAGGAGGGTAAGATGCTATGCTTGTGCCTCGCACTCTGTGGCTTTCTTTATTTCCACTCTTTCATTAGTCTTGACACACTTCTTTGACTTTTCCACCTTCGTTATTGACAGGTCAAGGTCAGACTATCCTCATTCTGGAGACAAAGTTCGGACCGTGGCCTGCTAGAAGGAGTGGAAAGCCTTCAGGGATATACTGCAGCCAACCCAAGCATCTGAGGTAATAAGACATGCACTGTATACATCTTGTCCTCTGTTAGCACATTTTGCACTCTCTACATCTTGCATTCTGTGTGCTTGTGTATCTGGTTTTGTGTTGAGTGTTGTTTTCTTAGCCTTTGACCAGTTGACGTCTCTGTTAACAGGCACAGGGTTGGACTGATCTCCTTCCGCACAGGTGGAGCAGACCCTCGCCCGCCAGCAGGAGTTCGGTGACTGCAGCCAATGCCCAGACATCAACAAAATTACAGAAGAAGAGGAGAGGATTACAGAAGAAGAGGAACAGAAGAAGAGGAGTCCATTGGCCGAAGCTGTATAACAACTAACTTTGACAAAAGTTGTAAGTAAAGACGCTCAGCAGCTTTTGTTGTACTTTTTAATTTCTTTTTATTTATTCTTACTTGATTAAAGGAGCTTCTGTCTTTTTGTGTTATAGAGATTCCATCAAACCCACTGTGACGTACAACTCCTTGGTCTGTCAGCAGCAGTCTTTTTAGCTGGGGTTGACTGCAGCCTGAACCATTGAAGAGAGGGTAAGATTCAAGTTAAAATACACTATAGTACCAAAGTACTGTGTTGATTTTTATTGTTTTCAAATTTTCACTTGGTATGAATTGCCACGTCTGTTGATCTTTGTTTTAGGGTTTCTACCATAGATATCCAGTGTAATTGCATCCCTGCATCCCCTTGTGAACAGTAGACGATCATTTAAAGCTGGAGCAATGCCTATAAGTAAGGTAAGAAAGAATAACAAGCAGGTTCATATACAATCTTATTTTGTTTATTCCTGATCATCTTTTTTCAAGTACTTTTGGACAACGTAGCATTATCCAATAAGCTTATTTTGCTTTATTTTATATTAAATATTTGGATCCTGTATAATGTTAAATTATATTCAGATTACCATTAAGGCTTTTGAATGTTTTGTTAAAGAATGCAAATATATTTGATTTCCTCTTTTGATTTCTATTAAATTGTAATCTGATTGACTTATTAACTGTTTTTCCTTCTTTGTTACATGTAGAAAACAGGATATCCCATAAATCATCTGAACCATCTAACAACATAGAACAAAGAAAGCTGTGCAATACAACTGAATAGATTTATACTAGGAATAGAGAGAATTTTTGCTAAAGAGATCAACAGTATTCTGTCGTAAAGATCTGTGTGTTAATCTGTGACCTTGTACTAAAGATCTATGACTCATCATTATGTGTGAGGGATCTGTGACCTTGTTTGAAGGATCTGTGACCTTTTGTAAAGGATCTGTGACCTTGTGGGAACGACCTCTTACCTTGTGGGAAGGATCTGTGACCTTGTGTGTGAAGGATATGTGACCCCTTCCTTCAATTTCTGTGTCCTCAATGTGTTGAGGATTTGTGATTTGATTTAAAATACAATTAAGTTTTTTATTTACAATCTGTGACCCTGAGTTGGGGATCTCTGTCATTGTGATAAGGATCCTTGCAGTATGTGTGAAGGATCTGTGACATTGTGTTAAATATCCATGGCCCTGCATTTTTATAAAGGATTTGTGACCTTGTTTTAAGGATCTGTGACCAATCAATAAGGATCAATGATCTTGTGTTATGGATTCATAACCCTGCAGTATGTGTGAAGGATCTGTGACCTTGTGTGAAGGATCTGTGACCTTGTGTTGCCTACTCAAATTAAATAATATGTTTTTACATTATCATTAAGATTTATACAATCATATAACTTACAATAAATTATGTCAGCTTTCTTAACCTTTTCTGAGTTTTGTATACAACTAATTGTCATGGAATATATTCTTTTTGATGTGAAATCCAGTTAACAATGAAATATAATTTTTCTGAGTTATGTATAGCTATTTTCAAGCATTCACCCAGTAAACAATAATTTCCACTAATGAATAGCTTCACAATGAGACTTAACAAATAAACCAAGATAATTATAAATCTGAGCATTTTGTTTGTATTATGCATCCATCTTAAGGAGAATAAAAGTAAAATGAAAGTGAAATTTAATGGTGTTTATTGGTATTTAACCTTATTTTTTAATATTATCTTTTAATTCTTCACAATATTAATGGAATAAACAGAATACAGCAATTAATTGACTTAATCTGATCAAGTCTCTTGTTATACTTTGGATTATATAGCCATCTACAAGAGTGTAATAGTGTAATGACTTTGAAACATACTGTATACTTATAACAAATCCGATATCTCTATTACTGTAAATGACTTCAAATAAACAATGGCATAATTATGAAATCTGAGTTTTATTCTTTCATGTCATCTGAGTCAGTTGACTATTGCTTATCATGTTTTCTGCCCCATGATCAAGGGTTCTGAAGGATGGTTGGGAATATGCTATATCAATTGATGATAATTAAAATTGTATGATGAAGGTGCCTCTTCCATAAATTAATTGTGAATTTCATGGCCCCTGGGTCTAAGGCAAGGGGCTCTTGTTTATAGAGTGAAAATGTCAATCAATTCTATAAAAATCTTATTCTCTGCCAATGGGTATTTAGCAGATAAAATTAGTGCATGGTTTTGATCTTCCAAATTACCAAATTATAAATGAGTAAAGAGACAGGAGTTCCTTGAAAAGGGGGGGGTCTATTGATTACATACTGGTAGTATTTAATATTTCTTTGAAAATCTTCACCATGCATGGGCGGATACAGAATTTGTGATTAGGAAGGACGTGGATAACTTAGTTCAGGCATACTTTGGTTTTATGACCAGAGTTTACTGTGATGTGGATCAGCACCAAGGTTAAAGTTTTTGTTTATTATAGTGGGTCCAGCTGTAAAGTCAAGGTTAAAAGGTCAAATATACATGTATCTATCTATATATATACTGGTTGAAAGGTTTTGTCACAATGAATACAAATGTGAAATATTAAAAGTCCAAGCTCCAACTGTTTAAATGTCATGGCCAGGATTAAAGTGTTGTATTTTTTTGTAAAAGTGTCACTGTGTGTCAAACTCCAAGATCAGTAGGTCAATTTTGGTGGTACCAGAAGAAAAGTCTTGTCACAAGGAATGCATATGTGAAATATGACAGCCATAATAGCCCCACCCACTAAAAAGTTATGGGCAAGATTAAAGTTTTTGCGGACAAACAAACAGACAGATAGATAGACAGACTGATGGACTGACAGAGCAAAAAATAATATTGGGGGCATAAAAAAACATTTGATGCATGGATTTATATAAATTTTTGGACTACCCCCCCCCCCCCCACTTTCAATACGCACAATTTGCAGTGTTTTCAAAAAAGGGTAAGTGGTGTGGTAGGGTTTTGATAAAAAAGGTACTGAAAGATATGGCACGCCAAATTCACAAAAATGAGATAAACCTAGTTTCACATTTGATAAACTAGGTTTATCGACTGTAAACTATAGTTTACAAACCGTAAACTATAGTTAACGATTCTTAAGCATAGTTTTCATCTGTAAAACTATATTTAACGGTTGTTAACTATAGTTTACGAATGCTAATCTAAGTTTATCTGTCTGTAATAAGCGTTAACAATAGATTTTGTTGATAAACATAGATTCACGTTTGTAAACTATAGTTTACAATCGTAAACTAAAGTTAAGAGTTGTTAATCAAAGTTTCACAAATCGTGAAACTATATTTATCAGATCATTAACTATAGTTAACGGTTTGTAAACTATAGTTTACAAATCGTGAAACTGTATTTATCAGATAATCTATGTTTTGCAATCGCAAATGATTGTTTTCGGTGATAAGTATAGTTTACGGTTGTGAAACATAGATTATCGCGTTAACTATGGTTTACAGATGTAAAATATAGATTAACGTTGTTAACTATAGTTTAAAGTCCGTAAACTATAGTTTACAACCGATAAACCTAGTTTATCGATTGTGAAACTATGATTTGCTCATTTTTGTGAATTTGGCGTGCCATAGAAAGAAGTTAGATCCTTAACCCCCCACCCTGGAAATAGGATGTTTGCGTTTTGTTTTCTTTGCTTGTCTATTTTTTCAGGTTTGATTTTTATTCTATGACACTATGTTAATTAACAGTAATTAGTGCATTATTTCTTTGAAAATCTTGATTGATTTCTGCTACTAATTAAGCATCTACTCACTGGAGACTGAAAGAATTATTAGTCGTTCCCCTTTGCTATTTACCTAGATGATAATTAATCACTAGCCTAAATAATAAAATTGATTAATGTCAATCAAATAATAGAATAATCAATTATAAATGTAACATTTTTGTAATATTAAATAAATACAAAAAAGTACCTTCCACAGGTTTTTTAAATGGTTAAGGTCAGACGACACGTTCCTCAAAAATATATAATTTTTCTTAAGAATTTGTCATTGAAGTATAGGCACTTAAACAAGTTATTTCACAAAAAATTAGGGTACCTTACCAGACGTTTGGTCAAGATACCATAGGGTCATATTTCTTATATAACCCTTATGGGTAATATTCTAAATGGCCTAAAACACAATTTTTGGTGTACTTATAATTAAAAACATTTTAAAAACAATGTAGAAATCAGGAGAGAATGACAAATATGAATTTTTTTATATAATACCATGAGATACAAAACATATATTTGAGGAACGTGTCGTCTGACCTTAAGTATATTACTTAGTAAGACTTGTAAATAAAAGATCAATAAAAATAATGGGACAAACTTACTTTATCTCAGACTCTGTACATTAAAAATTATTTAAAGACTAAATGAGACATATGAGAGATCAAATGAGATGAATTTAGTAACAGATTTTAAGAACCATTGTCTTCTTTAGTCCTTGAAAAGGGGGGGGGGGGGGTGCAAATGGAGGCACATTGGATCGGGATCGAGATTCAAGATTTTTTGCGCTTGCGTAGTAAGCATCACTAAAATTCAGGAGAAAGAAAATGGGGTGAACAGTCAACGTCGAATACTTTTAGAAAACTGTATAGTTTTGAACTATTATGCCCAACGCTTCGTTTTAGAAGCTTCATGATATAATATACGGTGAGTATGCAAGCATTAAGAGTGTCATGACATCGCTGCATGGCAATATTATACGGCAAGCGGTATATCTAGTCTTCCCGACTCCCGACGCCCGACTCCCGACGGTCCCGGATTTGGGATTTTTAGCGATTTCTTTTTTACAGGTGCACAGATTTTATTCAAACTTTTCAGGCACATTTTCTGGGTTTATATAAATTCATTACTGCATAAAAACTTTATGAAACTTGTCTTTTTATTACTGAATCAGCAGTATCACCTGCCAAAAAGCGGTAAATCTAGTACTCTGTTATAAATGTTAAAACCAAAAACGGACACCGATGTTTTCGTAGAATCGGGATTAAAACAACAAAATGAAGAATATATTTTTTAACAAATAACTGGAAAACCTCATTAAATTGTTGGATAATTTGTACGCACTGAAACTCAGATATTTTATTTTTGAACGCACTGAAACTCACGTATTTTTTTTTAAATTAAGGGCTATGCATTGCTTATTAATTATCGATACATAGCGATGAGCGGAGACGTGAGGTTTCGTAGATCTTAATATTGATATTATTTGGGAAGATATTTCTTCTTCTAAAAAGATAGAATCAGTGAAATTGAAGTTGTTAGAAAAGTATGAACAATTTAATTTTATAGATTCCAAACTCAAAATGACTTTTAAAGTCGGGTTCCTTTTAAACCTGTTAATGAAGATAATCTCTTATTATAAAAGCTTTATTAAAGCAGTGTTAGCTTTGGTAAAATAATTAATTTCCTTATCACCTGGCTGATACAATGAAAGTGGAGAAATATTCTGTCAAATTAAAAGAAATTAATTATGTATTGTAAACTCCTTCTAAATAAAAGCAATTAGCATGATTAGTATTAACCATGACTTGTTAACATAACATGTAACCGTGGACAATATACGATAAGTAGAATTAAGAGTATCTTAAAATCAGTCAACAAAAAGTAAAGTTAAAATAAAAATAAATTAATTAATAAAGGGGGGGCTCCGACGTATAAATGTCAATGTCGTACGTAGAGCCTGTGAACATAATGTGACAATGAACGATTTATACACGAAAAAAAGAAATTATATGGGTGTTTTTAGGCGTACAAATTATCTGGTATGTAAATGAGGTTTTCCGCTTATTTGTTGAAAAAAATATTATTCATTTTGTTGTTTTTAATCGCGATTCTACGAAAACATCGGTGTCCGTTTTTGGTTTTAACATTTATAACAGAGTACTAGATTTACCGCTTTTTGGCGAGTGAAACATCTGGTTTAGTAATAAAAAGACAAGTTTCATAAAGTTTTTATTCAGTAATGAATTTATATAAACCCAGAAAATGTGCCTGAAAAGTTTGAATAAAATCTGTGCACCTGTAAAAAAGAAATCGCTAAAAATCCTAAATCCGGGACCTTCGGGAGTCGGGCGTCGGGAGTCGGGAAGACTAGATATACCGCTTGCCGTATTATACAAAATCAAGGACTGGTCTAATCCAGTTCAGGGGTCTTGTACTCTAACAGTTGAACAGCGTAAATAAAGGTGAACAGGAGGGATCTGGATCCCTTACAGAGAAATTCAAATGAGACAATTGTAAAAATGTGACGAAATTCAAAAACGTAAGTAGGGATTGAATTTAATTAGCACTACTGAGGTCTGGTACAATCACTATCCTGGCGTATTGTATTTTCGACCTATTTAGATGTTCTTTATTAATTTATCGCAAACATTATAGAATCTAAAAAAACAGGGGCTTAAAATGTTAGCATATGTGTCGATAAATAAAATGATATAACCCAAATTGCAGTTTTGTGTTTATTTTACTTATATGCCATAATATGGATAAGGTACAATTTTCCTTACAAAAATATTAGCGTCTTGTGTTTTCGACCTAAATATAGTATCAACGCCAAATCAGTATTGGCTATAAATATCCATTGGATATTCCAAAAAATAAAAATACGATTGTCTGTCTCTCAAAAAAAAAATTGAACAAGTTGCATATTTTGGTTGCAAATAAATTTATTCGTTGGTTGAACCTATCTGTTAGTTGCTGTGCATTTCCAAAATAAATCAATAAAATTACGTTGCATTTTTCAGTAAAATTCTGTAAGAAAGTGCTGATATTTAAGGAAGAATAAAAATTGTTTGATCCATCCATTTATTTCAATATTCATGCGTCTCTTTGACAGAGATCTTAATTTTCTTTCGGAAAAATGTCATCAAAAAATCTTAGTAATGAACCGATTACGGCTTTGATTAATCAACAGATAAAATGTGCATTAGGAAAAAGACTAGAATTTCTGACATCGGTCTAAAATCGTCGGGGGAATTCCATTTAATTAATTATTTTGGGTATTTTCTCTACAGTTGTGCTTCAAAGACATTTTTCCAAGTGTAGCAACCGAAAATAATGTTCTACCGCGTAGAATCTGCATGGGAAGCCGATTGGGAAAAATAGGTCGAAAATACGAGGGTTGTTCGAAAAGTTCGTGGACGATGTCAATAGTCGTTATGCTACTCGCTAGAAATTTAAGATAAGCACATTATAATATGTAAAAATATTTGTTTTGTTGATGTGTAAAGTTTCATTCCATTCGATTTAACAGAAATCAATTTACTTCATTTAAAAATCCACATGTTTTGTACCCGCGGAGCACACTTAACGACAATATAACGTCAACGCATAGCGTCGAGAATTTCTTAAATATACTATCCTTATATATTTTGCACAGTGTAATCCAATGTCCATTAATTTAATCATTTTTCTTATACTTGAAATTCTTTTTTTATTGCTCTCGTTATATAATTTCCTGTGTTAAGGTTTTAATTTCTTTTATTACTTAAGTCTCAGGATACATACGCAACTCTGATTTCCTTTGTCTTTCCTTGACGTTCCAACTTTTTAAAGTTTTTGTTAAGAATGTTACAGTTAAATCGTAGCTTCACAGATTGTCTTCATCCGATACAGAGTCTATGTCACTCAAATACTGCCTGTACTATTTGTACACACACAGGCAACTCGCTTGTGACACATTTTCTTGATCCCTTCAACATTTTTAGAGTTTATTCAGGATTTTTCCTGAGTAAAATACAAAATTGCATTATTATCTGCTGCTCCGTGACGTTCTAAAACGTTATTATTTTTGTCGCTTTATATAAGGACAACTTATCTTCTCAAGGTGATTTCTTTTCAACAAAGCAAAATATTAAGCCAAAATTTGGTATACGAATAAATGTTACAATGTTTAACTTGAATTTCTAGGTTGGTTTTCGTTTTTGCTCTATTTTACAAAGAATATGACTTCAGACATTATATAGTGTATTCTCTGTAACTTACTAAATTTTGACCTTGCTCCGCGATCCGATTTTTGCATTTTTAAAATCTGGATAAGTTCTGAATAAATCATAATATTTTTAAAAAATTTAATACAAATCATTTGGATTTATTGAAAAAATATTTCTACCAAATTTGGATAGCATATGACGTCAAAGAAAAAAAGATATGACAGTTGTCCACGAACTTTTCGAACAACCCTCGTACAATACGGTCGAAAACAGGATACGAGACGATAGATTTAGCTACGTAACATGATTTACCTACTTAGCTTATTTACTCTGGGGTAGCTTTATTTAGCTACCAAATCAATGTATTTCTATAAAAATGCATTTTTCTCAGAGTGTGCAGAAAATCTCATTTTGATGCAGTGATCATTTTCAACTTTGAACACATCTGAAAACAGTTCATGAAAAAACCACTCTTGAAGAAATGTCTTTTTCTGCGCAATTGCAATCAAAGTTCTGAAAGTTTTGGGGCTATGTATGACTGTTAGAACAGTTACTCCTTGAATAAAATGACAAAGAAGTCCAGTTCCAATTAACATGATAATAGGTCGGTAATTATTCAGCACAATATAAGGTAATCATACTCAGTTATGCCTTACCGCACGCAAAAGAGAGGACAGTTGCCCAAACAATGGAATTACATGTTTTGCTCTTAATTGTTCAAACACAGCAATGTATAAACTCTCTCTGCTTTGGATTGTTTTTTTAAACCTCCCTAGTGATAAATATTAATAGTCATTTAATTGCGGTTTTTTGTCTCTTTTTAATGAAAAGAAAAAAATTGTAAAGCTGCATAGGTAATTCTTCCTACGTAGCTAAATTTAGTGATTGCACTAGGCCTGCTACTAATATTATTCCTACTTTTACAAAAGACACTACAATGTAGTTGATAGGGGGATGGAAGGGTGGGCAAAAGGGTGTGCTGTAGCAACATTTTTGAGAATATTAAGAAATTCCCTGAAATTGACCACCAAATTCATTTTATGAGCTCATGTATGCTTCGTACCACCTTAGAAATAATCCATTTCAAGAAAAAACTGAACAGATTGGGTTGACTTCATTTAATTTAATGATTGTCACAGATCAGTTGTCCTACATGTACATTATTATCAAGTGCTTCATAAAACACGAAGCCTTTTCTGATGGGTTTTAACCACTGATTGAGATTTATTTACATCTTAAAGAGAAAATTTTTCAAGAGAAAATAAAACAAAGTTGTACACAAATTTTAATAGAATTGAATACATTCTTGGGACTGCCTATAGTTGATTTAAAGTGTGCAAAATTTGGTTGTGTGGTGCTACTGGTGCACACCTTCCTCCCATAGGAATGCGCGATTTTATCAGCCGGTATATCGCGATTTTTTGTTGTGTGATACGTATCGTGATACGGAGACCTAAATACCGGTATTTAGGTGCATATTTATAAAGTCCAAAAATTATTCATTTATTTGTTCAATCTTTCAAATCACAATAACAGAAAGTCTGCAAAATGTTGTTGTAAAAGGTGAAAAAAAATGGCATCTTACCATCCAAATATGATTAGTTTTATTTACATAAAAAATTTTAAAAAGTGAAGTTATGTTTTTCTAGCATATTTTAAAGAAAAATAATGACTATTCATTTAAAATCATTGTAAAAATTGCTTGTAAAAATATCA